CACCTCCATGCTGCCCCACATCTTCTTCGAGGCACTCGGAGCCATGGCGAGCGGGTTGGTCCCCTACCCAGGCAGGTGTGCCGTGCCGTGCCGTACCGTGCCTTGCTGTGCCGCCCCCGGCTCTCTCAGTGCTTCCTTCCCCGCAGCGGCAGCTTGTTCTCTGGCGTGCGTAGCAGGGGCTGGGGTGGAAATGAAATGTGCCCATCTCTGCCCCAGAGGGAAACCCGGGTTGCCTCCCGCCCCCGGCTTCCTCCCTACCGAGGCAGGGATCAGCTAAGCCCCTTCCCCTCCCCATGCGCCCCTGGCACGCTCCTACGCATGCACCCAGCTGCCAAGCTGCGGGGACAGGCACCTCCAAGCCCACACCCTTTTTGGGGAAAGCTCCCAGGGATGGAGCAGGCAAGGACCACAGGGGACATGTCCTCAGCTCCAAGCCTGGCCCATAAGTAAAAGGGCTTTCTTGGGTTCCCAGGCACCCATGGGTGCTCCCACCAAGTGCCCATGGCACTAGGTTGTTGGGGAATGTGTGGCACTGGGCAGCCAGGCAGGGTCTGAGCAGCCATGGGCACCTATGGGCAGGCTGCTTCCACTGGGAAGGGATGGGAGATGAGGGAGAAGGAGAAGGAAAGGGAGAAGGAGAAGGAAAAGGAGAAGGAGAAGGAGAAAGAAGGAAAAGGAGGAGACAGAAAAGGAGAGGGAGAAGGAGAAGGAGAAGGAGAAGGAGAAGGAGAAGGAGAAGGAGAAGGAGAAGGAGAAGGAGAAGGAGAAGGAGAAGGAGAAGGAGAAGGAGAAGGAGAAGGAGAAGGAGAAGGAGAAGGAGAAGGAGAAGGAGAAGGAGAAGGAGAAGGAGAAGGAGAAGGAGAAGGAGAAGGAGAAGGAGAAGGAGAAGGAGAAGGAGAAGGAGAAGGAGAAGGAGAAGGAGAAGGAGAAAGAGAAGAAGGAGAAAGAGAAGAAGGAGAAAGAGAAGAAGGAGAAAGAGAAAGGAGAAGGAGAAGGAGAAGGAGAAGGAGAAGGAGAAGGAGAAAGAGAAGAAGGAGAAAGAGAAGAAGGAGAAGGAGGAGATGGAGATAGAGAAGAAGGAGAAGGAGGAGATGGAGATAGAGAAAGAGAAATAAGGAGAAGGAGAAAGAAGGAAAAAGAGGAGACAGAGAAGGAGGAGATGGAGATGGAGAAAGAGAAGGAGAAGGAGAAGAAGGAGAAGGGGGAGATGGAGATAGAGATGGAGATGCAGAAGGAGAAGGAGGAGATGGAGATGGAAATGGAGAAGGAGAAAGAAGGAGAAGGAGAAGGAGAAGGAGGAGATGGAGAAGAAGAAAGAAGGAGAAGGAGAAGAAAAAGGAGGAGGAGGAGTTTTGCCCCATTAGGTGTGTTTCTCCACAGACAGATTTGCAGACAGCAGGGGCAGGTGCCCAGGGCCAGGGCGCTGTTATTGGGGTGACCTTTGCAGCAGAATTCTTTAATTTCTCCGCTAGCAATGCTTCCTGTTCACCACGCTGACTAACACTTGCATAGGAAATAACCAGCGGTGAAAGCACGCCAGTGGCTGGCTCCTCCGCTTCTCTCGAACACAGCGTCGGCGCCTTGCAATTTTGGAAAGCATCAGGTGAAAATTAATAATCGAGGTGAAGGATGCGATTCTCATGATGATTTCATTATTTTCCGGGCTTTCAGAAACGAGCTGCAGGGCTGAGGCTTGCTCACCTCTCGCTTTCAAACATGGCCCCAGCAGGCAAGTGGGTGGGGGGAGCTACCCCTAATTCGGGATGGTCAAGGAGGAGGTTCTGAGCTGGGGCAGGCAGGGCTCACCCTGGGTTGGTGGCTCAATCCAGCCTGTCCTGGGTCCTCTTTTCCAGACTCCTCCTGGCATTGCAGCATCACTCTTTTCTAGTGAGTTTCTGGCCCTGCCTGGGCCGCAAAGCAAGCCAGGGGCTGTCCCCACGTTTTCAGCTTTCCATGCTGCCTGGCCAGAGGCCATCGCGCTGCCTGGCTGGGTGGCAAGGGGAGCGGTCTCCGCCATCTGCAATGGTGCAGGTGGGCTTCCAGCTGGACATTGCCTCTTCCTTCACAATTTCCTGTATTCCCATTAAAAAAAAATCCTAACTAAACTAACCTAAGCTGAACTCTAGAAAATATGGAAGCTCACAGCAAGGAAGCTTTTCCACCTTGAGGCTTTGTGTCCCCAAATGGTGACACCAGGCATCCGGGTCAGGTGTGTGGAGGCTTGTTTAGCACTCACAACATATTTTGGTTTCTAGAGGCGGAAGATGTGATGGGTATCACTGCTGAGATCAAGACTCACCAAGCCAGG